CCCCCCCTGACCCCTTGCTCTGGGTACTGTGCTCCCCTCCACCTCTCTCCATCAGGCCTACCTCTGGGATTCCTACCAGCGTGTGCAGCAGCAGCTCCTCAAGCGACAGCCCTTGTCTGACTCCCCCATGGTCCCCACCATCCATACAGGGCACAGGCCCCTCTCCAGGGCTCAGTCATCTCCTGCCACCGCGACTGTCTCCCTTCCTGCCCAGGACACGGCCTCCAAGACGCTCTCCCTGTCTGTGCAGGCGCAGCCTGCCAAGCCACACTTCACAACAGGTACAGGCCAGCCCTTCTGTGGGGATGTCACAGCTGGAGCAGCAGCAGGGGCTGGGGACAAGAGCAGGAAGGGAGGTGGAGATGCCATGGGGCAACTTAGCATCAGGCCTGGTCAATTCCAGACTCCTAAATGCTTGGAAGTGCTCTGGCTGGCTGCAAAAAGAGCAGAGCAAGCCACGAAGGTCCCCTTCTCCTTATCTAAGGTGGCTTTTCCAAGCAGGACTTGCCCATCTGGCCCCTTGACTGCCATCCTGGTCCAGTGATGCTTGCAAGGTTCAGCTCTCTCTCATATCCAAGGCAGGATTTGCTTCAAGCACGTTGGGACAGAGGCTCCCATGGTTTGAGGGAGATGTTTCAGTCCAAGGAAATGGTTATGGGTGTTTTGGGTCTCAGCCAGTCTCTGCAAAGGAGCTGAATTAGGGTCAGCACCATCAGGCTCAGGTGTCCAGTTCAGCTTTGGGACAGCAGCTCTCCTTGTGCTTTTCAGGGCTGGTTTATGACTCGGTGATGCTCAAACACCAGTGCTCCTGTGGTGACAACAGCAACCACCCGGAGCACGCGGGCAGGATCCAGAGCATCTGGTCCCGTCTGCAGGAGAGGGGGCTGCGCAGCCAGTGCGAGGTGAGACCAGCTGGGACGGGGATGCTGGTGTGAGCAGATCTCATGCTAATGGTGTGATAGGGTGTCCTCATCCCACCTCCATCTCCCAGATCTTCTCAGCCTGTTTACTGCCATTATCCAGAGATCTTGGACTTGTCTGTTGCTGGCAGTGCCAAGTTGGAGCATGCTGGTCAGACCATCTCCAGCTTTGGGTGGCAGCAGGGATCTGCTCTGCTGGAAGATGGGTGTAGGGCGAGGTGTTCTCCCTGCTGAAACGGTGTCTTGCTCCATCTGGGAACATCAGTGTCAGTTCCAGTCTGTTAGAAACCCTGCCCTGGTCTAGCTGGGTTTCAGACAAGGTCTCTGCAGTTGTAGGAAGGTGGTGCTGGCATTTCCTGCCTGATCTCTGCCTGCAAGTGAGGAAGGTGCTCACGTTTAAATCCAATGGCAAGAAGCACAGTGCTCAGCCTTGCCTCTGCCTCCCCAGTTGTGCTGACACGAGGTGTGGCTGTGCTGGGACAGCAGGACATGCCACCTCCACCTTC